TGTCTACGTGCGGCTGGGGACGGCTTGTGGATGTAAATACCAACTGAAAGTCTCACGTTCTCGGGTGCGGCGTTAAAAAGGAGCCGAATGGAAGCGAAAGGAACTAACTGGCAGCTACGTCTCATTATTTTATAAGTGAAATTGCAACTGTAACGTTCGATGCTAATAGTTTCTTCATGTGTAGAGTCTCCGCGTCCTTGTGGGTGACAAATAATTTTCCACCCTGCAAGCCAACTCTCACAGAGGAGGCGATGCAAGCCTCCCACTGCTCTATTACTTATGGAACACTCTTTCCACCACTTACTTCTATGCCAACTTCTTTCTTTTTATGTGTCGTCTCCCTTCAGGAGGTAAGCGATCATCGTTCTCCACTTCCTTCTATTCACCCTGTGAGTTTCAGATTCTCTAGGCCTTCCTTTCTGATTACGTGTCCCAGAAATTTCAGCTGCCTCTTCCTGAGAATAAGCTTCCTACTTGTTTGCATCCTCTCCAAAACTTCATCGTTGCTCACATGTTCGGTCCATGATATCCTTAGCATCCTTCTGTAGAACCGTGTCAACTAAGATCTTCAAAAGTATAATGCAACTTCAATTATCATTTTGTGTCACCTTGAATTTATTTATTTATTATTATTATGCCTCTTGATTCCTTGGGGAACATAGGGCCGCAACAACATCTCCCCAACAGACGCGGTTCTGGGTGATCCTCTTCAGCTCGACCTGTATTATGTCGGCTGCCTTCACCTATGCGTCAACACTTCTGCGCCAAGTCTGTTTTGGTCGACCCACTTTTCGCTTTCCTGTGGATTCCAGTCAAGGGCCTGCCTGGTGACACTAGAAGCAGGTTTGCGGGGGGGTGGTTGATCTATCCCCATTTCCGTTTCTTGATGTCAATCGTGATTGGGGCTTGTCTGGTCCTGCCCCACAATTGATTGTTGGAGATGACTTTCCTTGGGGATTCCAGACAAGTGCCTGCCTGGTGACACTAGAAGCAGACTTGCAGAGTGTGTGGCCGATCCATTCCCACTTCCGTTTCTTGATATCAATCTCGTTTGGGGCTTGATAAGCCGTAGAAAACGAATCTATCTATCTATCTATCTATCTATCTATCTATCTATCTATCTATCTATCTGTTTCATTCTATTCAATGTTTCTATCTATCTATCTATCTATCTATCTATCTATCTATCTGTTTCATTCTATTCAATGTTTCTATCTATCTATCTATCTATCTATCTATCTATCTATCTATCTATCAAATTACGTATAAGAATATATTGTTGAGCACTTACGAAAATAAATTCCGACTCACAATCAATGAACGGACATTAGATCAAATTTTATTTTTCAATAAATTTCTCGTGATCTTATCTCAAGAATTTTCAAAGACATTGGAAGTGGATTTTAATACTTACCCTCGAGGTATAAATAACAATCATATATAACAATTATATTTACATTCAAGCAAGCAGAGAAGTTGGCAAGCCAAAAATTATGGCGTCGGGGTCAGTTATCTTTCAGCAAGAACATAAATATTTCTATTTGTAAAATAAAATAAAACAGAAGAAGTCAGCATCTGATAAAATATAATTTCAATATAACTTAAGTCATTTTGGAAAATCTATTCTTGTGATTCATTTTACTAAGCAATTATATGATTCTATCTATCTATCTATCTATCTATCTATCTATCTATCTAAATCTGTTCATATCTATCTATCTATCTATCTATCTATCTATCTATCTCAGCTTTTTCATATGTATCTATAAGGATGAATCAATACGTCTGTAGCCTGACTCAGTTACTAGCTGAATTTTATATGAAACCTTTATTGGATAACATTTGATTTATGTTGAGTTAAGTGAATTCAATATATTTATTGATATATGTACACAGATCTATCTATCTATCTATCTATCTATCTATCTATCTATCTATCTATCTATCTATCTATCTATCTATCTCAGTCTGTTCCATATCTATTTATCTATCTATAATCCTCCACTTAAACTGGAAGATATTTTGCAAGAAGACTGGTGCTTATTGGAGCGCGGCAATCATCTTAGGGGAACCTATAACTGTGTGAGGGTTTAACAATTCAATATTGTGTAAGAGAAACGGCGCACACAGATGATTTGTTTAAAGTGGTAATCATGTGTGCAGGAACATCCACATTTTCGGAGAGAGTAACAGCAAAATAATGGCGCATAGTGTGCCAGTGTTTCATTGAAGAGAATTCCTCAAGATTGCGTACTAAAAATGAATTCAAAATGTCCCCAAACATTCCTCCTTGTACCAGTTAGACGTCCATACTATATCTGGGTTAAAATAAAGGCCTTTTTTATCTGTAGCGTCTCCGCGTCCTTGTGGGTGACAAATAATTTTCCACCCTGCAACCCAACTCTCACAGAGGAGGCAATGCAAGCCTCCTACTGCTCTATCGCTATTTCCGTGGAAAGTGCTCGGACGAGCTACATTCCTGGGTTCCACCAGTTCGAACTCTCATGGCTAAGAATCACCATGCCACACCCTTTGTAGCAAACTACCCGCATCCCCTCTATATTTCATCGGTGCAAAGTAAGTTCCACTCCAGCAGCTTCTTCTCGCGAATCCCTGCACTGTGGACCCGGCTCCCAAGATTATGCTTTCCCGAATACTACTAACTTAACCTGTTCCAGTCTAGGTTTAGGCGTTATCTGCATAAACTGTACACTCTACCTCGATTGGCACGGGAGCTTTTTAAAACGTGAATATCACCATAAAAAATACAACAAACAGAATACAGAAAAAAGAAAGAAAAATAATTATTGTTTGTGTTATTTTACTGAATAAACTTGTTCCGTTTTTTCATATTTGAACACGTACATACACAAAATTATAGACGGACATAAGGCAAGGATGTGTCGTCTCATCGGATTTATTCCCACTCTATAGCAAGGCTATTCTAACGCCACTAGAGATCCGACTAGGATATTTTATCGGTGGGCGAAATTTCTCTTTTACCTTCGGTCCTCGTGCCGCATCCCACCTCTCGTGGAGATGAAGTAAATCCTTTTTTTCATTTCTTCATTTCAGCGACTACAATGTAAGCTCTCTTAGGAGATAGCGTTTCCCACTTGTTGGAAGACACCATGAACATTATACACGCATACACGTACGTACGTACATTCACCAAAATACGAACATTCACCAAAGAACAAACACCAATGTTACACACACACACAAATGTTATTGTCCATTGTAAAATTGTTTTGTTTAATACATATATTAGTTTATATATGTATATATATATATCGGTCTTATTTGTCTTCTTCATCTTCGGTTGGACATAACTTGAGTCCGCCATTTTTCTTGTAGCTTGACCTTCTTCTAGCAGGAAAAATATACGCACGTGTTTTCTTCTCATCTTCACCCCCCCGGTCCTCTACAACAGTATAAAATACGCAGATGACACTGGGTCAAAGGCAGGCACAGAAGGAAAGACTACAGGAGCTTGTAGGCAAGGCTAGTAAAGGAAAGCAATAAGAAAGGACTAATCATTATTTAGAAGAAGGCAGATCGTTAGCAAAATGGGGAACCCACCCAAGATGAGATCTACAAATTGGAGATGTCAAAATCAAGCAAGTACAGAATATTAAATATCAGGGAAGAGTTTCAGCAGAAGATACAGAATGTGACACCGAAATCAAGGTAAACAATGAAATATCAAAGATGCCTCCTAAAAGCTAAGCAAAGTACGAGGAAACATTGAGTGAATATAATTGTTGTGGAATTTGCTTAATAAATTTTAAACACGATATTCTAACCAGTTTTTTTATTTTTATTTTTTTATTTTTTTTTTAAGCATTCATCCCCAAGCAAGGCGGGAAGCCACTAGCACGTAAAGGGTTACAGAGTGGAAGCGAGAACAAAGAGAAATGATAGAGGAAAGGATGAACAGACAGAGGATAGATCAGGGCATCGATTGACGTTACATTTGAATAGTTGGAGATTATAGTTATCAGGAAAACAAGAAATGAGGAGGGAGTTCCACAGGCGAGAGGTGCGAGACATGAAGCTATTGGAGTAGAAGAGACGGCTACATTTAACAGTTTCAACAGTGTAAGGGTGAGAGTGGGATGCCAGCCTCGTAGGGTGCTTGAATTCATGAAGTCTGGGAACCAGCGAAAGCAGCTCATCGGAGTAGTTACCATGTATTTGTAAAAAAGACAGAGGGAGGCAACGGCACATCTGTGAGAGGGCGATTGCAGACGAGATGCCAGATCAGGGCTTATTACATTGCATATCCGTCTTTGGATTTTATCAAGGACCTTGAGACAATTAGAAGGGGCTCCAGATCTTATATGGCAGCAATACTCCATGCAAGGGCGAATGGTTGATTTGTAGTTTTATAAATATCTTGATTTTTTTTTTTGCAATTAATGAATTTAAATTCCACACTCCTTAAATTAAGAGAACTATTTTATTAATAAAATTACAAAAGCGAAAAAAAAAAAAAAAAAAGAGTCGAAGAAGCTACCGATCGTTTAGTGCTGTTCCTGAGTCATCCATTAAACCCTTTCGTTGGTATTTTCCCTTTTCCAGCGATTCCCAACCCTATTTTTTTTGTCAAAATCCAAAAATCAATTTCTCAGCTTTCATTAAACCCGGCGACCGCGAAGGGGATGAGAATTAAAAAGAAGAAATTATAACGAAAAATTAGCTTTAAAACTGCTAAAAACATGTTTTAATCAGATAAAAAAAAACGAAAAAAAAAGTTAAACTTTTACGGAACAAAAAAAAAGTGTTTATTATTCTGTTTTTATATCTCCGTCTTTATAATCAAAGTTCCAATTTAAATTTCGAATCCGGAGGTCATTTTTTTCCGAAGCTTATGTCCTTGTCATTAATTTGTTTATAACTTGAGGCGTAGATTTTCTATGCCGCCTAAAAATATAAAAAAAAAAGAGGTAAAGAAAAGAAAAGAAAAAATAAAGAATAGCGTAAAAAAATTTAATTTGTTAAAATTGTTCCTGACGGCTTTTAATAAAAAAAGTAAAAAACAAAAGGAGAGAGAGAGAGAGAGAGAGAGAGAGAGAGAGAGAGAGAGAGAGAGAGAGAGAGAGAGAGAAAGGGAAAGAAAGAGTTAAGACAAAAAAGAAAGGAAAAAAAAAGAAACAGGACCAAGGGAGGTAAGCAAGACAGAAATTGTTTATATCTTTTAGGATGCGGTAAAAAATATTTAAATCTTTTTGTTAGTTTCTATTTTTCATCTCCAATGTATTTTTTGTAATTTCGTATTCTGAAAATCGTCTTCTATGTTTTGTAGACTCCCCCACTCAAAAAAAAAAATGACCGCTAATTATTTTATGTTTTTTAAACAATTTTTTGTATTGTTATTTTTTTTAATAAACTTACAGTTTTTAACGAACATCTCAATGTAAATTCATTTTCTTTCTTTCTTTGTCCATGACAACATTTATTTGTTAAATTGTTTATTTCTCTTTTTTTCTTTCTTTCTTTCTTTCTTTCTTTCTTTCTTTCTTTCTTTTTTTCTTTCTTTCCTTCTTTCTTTCTTACTTTTTCAACTTTTAACTCTCTAAAATATTGTTTTTAGATAATAGTTTGTTTTTCTTAAGAGATTTCGGAAAAAAAAATCTTTCTTTTATTCTTTTACTTTCTTTATTTCAGTTTTTGTTCTTCTTTTCTCTGTTTAATTAATTAATCAATCCAATCATCCTTCTTTCTTTTTAATCAGTGATTTTTCCAATTTCCTAATGATTTTTATTCTTCCATTTTTTTTTAACTAAAGACAATTTCTGCAAAAATTACAAATTTAAAACGATTAAAAGGACTTGACTCTTTCGTTATTCAAAATATCACATGTCCGTTGACTTGCCAGTTGGCCACTAAATATTGTAGACATTTATTCAGGTTTTTTATACATACTATACACGCGAGTAAGTAACACATAATTATATATATATATATATATATATATATATATATATATATATATATATATATGTAATTATATATATATATATTATTATATATATTATATATATTATAATATAAAATATATTATCATATATATTATATATATATATATATGCATATTATATTATATATATATATATATATTATTTTTATACATACTCACACGCGAGTACGCACACACACACGCACACACACACATATATATATACACACAATTATATATATATATATTATTATATATATATATATATATTATATATATATATATATATATATATATATATATATATATATATATATATATATATATATATATATATATATATATATATATATTTAAGCATTACGCCTGAGCAAGGCGTGAAGCCACTAGGATGCAGGGGGGTTAGAAGATTTGGAGCGAGAGCAGAGGAGGATAGAAGAAAGGATGAGGAGAAGGATAGTGGGTAGATCAACGTAACTGGAGATGCCGATTGTCATTACATTTGAATAGTTGGAGATTATACCTCTCAGGGAAACAGTAATAGGGAAGGGTGTTCCACAGGCGAGGGGTGAGAGGTATGAAGCTATTGGAGTAGAAGAGACGGCTACATTTAAAAGTTTCTACAATGAAAGGGTGAGAGCGGGATGCCAGCCCCGGAGGGCGCTTGAATTCATGGAGTCTGGGAACCAGTGAAAGCAGCTCATCGGAGCAATTACCATGAAAGTATTTATAGAAAAGACAGAGAGAGGCGACGGCGCGTCTGTGAGAGAGTGACTGTAGACGAGACGCCAGATCAGGGCCAATTATATTACATATCCGTCTCTGGATCTTGTCAAGAACTCCGAGGTAAACAGAAGGTGCACCAGACCATATATGGCAGCAATACTCCATGCAAAGGCGAATGGCTGATTTGTATATTTGAAGTATCGATTCCAGGGAGAAAAATTTCCTGGCGCGGCATAGAGAGCCAACTTTCCTCACGGTGGACGAAGCAATTGACTCAATGTATTTGTTCCATCTCAGGTCAGCAGTCCGAGCAGACGCAGAGAGTTGCTCTCAAGAAGTTGAGCATCAGACATTTTAATGGGGGGGGTGCAGGGAAGGATCTCTATGGTGATTAATAGAGAGTAGTTTAGTTTTTGAGGCGTTAAAGTTGACCAGCCAATTCTTGCCCCAATTAACAACCGATTGGAGGTCCATCTCAAGACGAACGGCCAGGTTAGTTTTGTCAGCAACACTAGATTTGTTTTTGAGGCAGGAGTAAATTGTAGCGTCGTCCGCGTAGATGCCAACTTGGGAATCTATGGCGTCAGAAAGGTTGTTGATGAAAATAAGGAATAGAGTAGGGTCAAGGATGGAGCCTTGGGGAACACCTGCGTTCGTGGGATAGGTACTGGAGGATAATCCGTTGAGAACGACCTTCATTTTACGGTTTGACAGGAATGATTGTATTAGGTCAAACAATCGACCTGTAATACCATAACCCTGGAGCTTGCGAAGAAGGCCGGCATGCCAAACCCTGTCAAACGCTTTGGAGATGTCTAGGGCCACGACACGAGCCTCACCGTTATTTTGAAGGGCTTGGTAGACGGTTTCAGTAATAGCCGTAAGCACATCAGCTGTAGATCGGGCGTAGCGGAAACCATATTGATTGTCTGAGAGCAGGTCGTGTGAAGTAAGGTGGTTAACCACTTCGGCGTTGATTAGGGCTTCGAAGACTTTGCCGAAGAGAGGTAGGAGACTAATAGAACGGTAATTAGAGGGGTCAGAGGGGTCTCCAGAGTTCATAAAGACAGGAACAATGGATGAGGACGTCCAGCATTCAGGAAAACAGGATTCCTTGAGGCAGTAATTATATAGTTTAGAGAGGTAGAACTCAATTTCCAGGACAGATTAAGAATATAATATAAAAGTCTGAAACACTAATATTCCATGGTTATAATTTATTACATTGGACTTATAAATTCAAAAAGACTGTAGGTCTGATAGATTGGATCGTGATTACGATTCCAATGTAATAAATTATAACCATGGAATATTAGTGTTTGAGCCTTTTATATTATATATATATATATATATATATATATATACTTGACGTAATTTTCAGTTGACCATATAAATACATATTTCTAAATTCTTTTAGTTTCTAAGGACATTTTGTTTGTTGTTAATAGTTGCTTCATTTTAATAAATTCATTTCCTTTTTGCCTTGAAAAGTTTACACTGGACGAAACGCGTTGGCTAATAATAGTTTTTCTATTGTCTTTTACCTTTATACATATTGTCGTTTTCTACACGTTAATTCTGAAAAATATTTCACACACACGGACACACACACGCATACACACACACATATATATGGGATAACGATATATTAATTTTTAGCTATCAAAATCTGAGATACTGGTCATGGGAATTTTCTAAAATTTGCTTGAGTTTATATGGAATTAACTTTATATATATATATATATATATATATATATATATATATATATATATATATATATGATGGTGCCTTTTGTTTCACACTTATGCATGCTAGCAGGGTCGTTTTTTAGAGAAAATCAGGTAAGGGAAAGACATATTTCATTTGTGATTTCTTAAGTGTGATACTAGCCCAGCCTTTGCTGCATTTGACAAAGCCACACTGACAGATGAAATTTGTTAAAGCAGGATTTCCAGAGCTTGACAAAGCTGATCACGGTGCTTTAGTCTTCAAAACCCTTCAACTTAATGAAACATGTCTTACTTCACTCCTTTCGGTTTGAGGTTTGGGCTTCCCAGGTTTTCATATCAAAGTTGAAACGCTTCAAATTGTCTTTCAATTTGTCCTTCAAGTTTGGTAGTTCTCTATACAGCATCATCCATTCTCACGAAAATGACCATCCCACCTAAGTTGTATCTTTGCTAGAATAGTGTCAACGCCTGTGATGTTGTTTCATTTCTTCCGTATTGCACTATTCTTGACCCTGTCATCCCAAATGGTACGAAAACAGCGCATGTGAATGGCGTCAAGCTGATTTATGTGCCTGCTGTACAAGTTTCAGCACCATAGAGAGGGGTTGAGAGAACGACTGATCTGTATATGTCAATCTTGGAGAGACACGTCTTTGGTGTTCCATAACCTATGTTTAAGATTACCGAATACTGTGCTGGTTTTGACTATTCTGGATTGGATTTCTCTGTCCATTTTTTCCATCAGAAGAGACTGTTGAACACCTCAACAGTTTTTAATGCCGTACCATCAATGAATACGGAAGGATTTGTGAGAGATGGATTGCCTGGTACTGGATGGTACATTAGCTCAGTCTTCTTTATATTGATAGTGAGTCTAAATGTTTTCGCTGTTTCAGAGAATTTTTCAAGGATAATTTGAATGTCTTCTAGTTACAATTGTGCTTTTAAAAGTTGCTGATTGTATAGACCTCCATTTGTTCTGAATTAAACATTGACTCCTTCACTTGAGTCAGAGAATGCTTTCTCAAGCATAGACAAAAAAGTACAAAGAGAAGAAGAGCAAGAATGCAAATTTGCTTAGTAGTATTAGAGACGAAAAAGGCGTCCGATTGCTCACTTCCAGACCTTACAGAAGCTTTCATTCCTTCGTGAAAGGAGATAATAATATGGAACATTTTTTCTGGAACACCTAATTCTGACAAAACTTTCCAAAGAGCAGTTCGAGATACAGTACCGAAAGCCTTTGTGAAGTCTTCAAAAAACAATAGATCCTTGTTTTGTTCTCGTGCCTATTCTTGAGCCTGCTGGAGACAAAATATCATATCTATGGTTCCTCTACCGGATCGAAAACCGCACTGGGTCCCTGGTAATGCTGATTCTAAGACAAATTACTTAAGCCTATTCAGAGTTAGGGTTAGGTTGAGTTTGTTTGAACAAACAATACAAAAATGAAATTACCAGAATTTTCTTTTCTGCTGTTTATTTCATTTACTGATAAATCTTTAAAAATCGAAACATGTTAAATTTATAAACATTTCCTCTTTGTTACTTATCCTATCACACACACACATACACACGCACAGACATATATTATATATATATATATATATATATAGAGAGAGAGAGAGAGAGAGAGATAGATAGATAGATAGATAGATAGATAGATAGATAGGGAGAGAGATAGAGAGATATGGATATATATCTTTATCAACTGAAACAATATTCCTATGGGAACTATCTCAAATTTCGCTAAAATGTTAGATCGTTGTAGAGACATATGCGAAACTAAAAACCTTAAAATTTTAGCTTCCTTGGACAGTTTAGAAGTTATGGCCTCTTGAATTTTGATGTAAACTTTTGCTGATTTATTTTGCATTCCAAGAAAACAATTTTTAACTTATCAAACAAATATATATCTTAAATAAAATGAAAATATCACATTTAAGAGGTAAATTTTCTTTATATAAAACGAAGCATGCCGTCGGGCCTACTCCAATTTTTAGATTGGGGCGAAATCCAAAGTTTGAATGTTTTCAAAATGAGTCAGACTATAAAACCCTGATTGAGATTCAATATTCTAAAAGTAAGGATATACTAAATTCATTGGATCATATTTTGACCCACAGATTCATGGGGTCAAAATAAGTTTGAATTTTAAAGCAAAATTTTTCTTTATGTCTATCATCTTCGATGGCGTGTTTACTAATTTAACATCGAATAAAGATTTAAAAAAAAAAATTAATGAGTGAAAGATAAGTGAGGGATGTGCAAAATAGGACCCCACCCCCGAATTCAACGATTTACGAGTCAAAAATTGTCCGCACTCTCGAAGTATATGGAATTCTTTATAAGAGTGTGGAATAGTTTTGACTTTCCCTCGTAAACTATTTTCCAAAGAAGAAGGCTTAAAATTTTATTTTTTTCAAAGATAGGTGGTTGCAAAGTTTTGTTAAATAGGAATCATGTAAGTTTTGTAAATTCTTCAACATTTTTCAAAAGGTAAGTGTTGAAACTTGAACAAAGCATGGCATAATAATAATACAACACAAAATGTACTTAAACAAAATGTATTGAAACAAGAAAGTGTACACAATATTTACAGATAGTTTGGTATATTCTTGGGAAGACCGTTCCTGTAGAATGGGTTAACTTAGTCGCAGTCGGGCAGAGTCTCTGGATTGGATCTCTTCTTCCTCCCCCCGTCTTCCCGGTACCAACCATATTTATATGGTCGGTACTCCACTATGTAAATTAGGTGGATCGTACCACAACAGTAAGCCATCATATGATTACAATCAACCTTATTTTTAATTCTATTTCTAAAACTTTATCTTTTTTGGGTGGCAAGACACACACCCAAAAAAATCACAAATTGGCAATTTACTTTATATTTAGTATCCTATAATTATATTTAATATCCTATAATTATATTTAATATCCTATAAGTATAAGACTATAGAAAAGTAAAATAAAATAAAAATGACGCACTGTGTTAACATAGTGTTTTCCCTATATGTTAGGTTATAGAACTACCACATATTAACTTGATATATTCTCAAAATACAAAAGTTATGAAGTGTTAATTTTGGCTTATCGTGCTATTTTGAAAGCTGCAAAAACTGACACCACATTTCAAGAGGCCATAACTTCTAAACTCAGTGCCGAAGGAAGTTAGAATTTTGCGCTTTTTACTTTTTCATGGGTGTCTACAGAATCAAGAACAGTTATGGAGGAAATATTTAGTGGTGTGATGTCTTTCGTCCCTTAGGACTTCATCGGACTAAACTGGTTTACGTTGATGCGACTACGCATGCGCACGAATGAGAGACGCCGGTAATTTTAAGTTTAGAATTTTGTTTTTTTTAATGTATTTTTCATATATAATCTAACCATTTTTATTTAGTTTCGTTATCTTTTTGTTTCTACCATCTTTGTTATGAAATACCTGGCTAAATCCATAACAAAACTTTTAACCCCTTTTCTTGTCACAATCAGTCCATCCAGTGTTATAGTGGAACACACCTATTCTATAGTAAATAGACTCTCCCACATATAATAAGTAGGAGTAGTAAGAGTAACGAGGGGTCGCTCAGTGGGTCGGTCTGAGTTCAGTCTGAAGTCGGACGACCGGCTGACCGGTTGAACTCTCTGCCTTCGGTCGGGGAGGAACCCGAACGAGGCTACGCCGAAGGGCGGAGTCTCTTTCGGAGAGGTAAACCGACCCTGAACCCTTTTATACGAGTTAAAAGGGCATATTTTTGGCCGAGCCCGTGGGCTCGGAGATCCCACGGGCTCGGAGATCCCACGGGCTCAGATATTCCACGTTAAACCGGCCTTGTGCCACATGATGCCCTCGTAGGGGGTGTAACTGAATACCGCTCAGTTGGTCGGTCTGAGTTCAGTCTGAAGTCGGACCACCGGCTGACCGGTTGGGCTCTCTGCTTTCGGGCGGGGAGGATCCCGTACGGGGCTGCGCCGGGGGGCGGGGTCTCTTTCGGGGAGGTAGGTCGAACCTGGACCCGTTTATACGGGTTCAAAGGGCATATTTTTGGCCGAGCCCACGAGCTCGGTGATCCTACGTTAAACCGGCCTTGTGTCACATGATGCCCTCATGCGGTGGTTGACTGAATACCGCTCAGTGGGTCAGTCTGTCAGTCGATTATCAAGTTCCTAACGTTTTGTACATCGAACGTATTTTAGGACCGACTTAGTACAAATACAAGCCTCCATTGTGAAACCACTCTACAACAGCAAGTTAGTTAAAAAAACTAAGGAAAACAAATATGAGCGACAAACTCATCGCCAGGTGAGATATAAAATCACTTTCTCGCCCAATTCTCTCTCAAAAAAAGCATCAAACAGAATCAAAGATAAATCTCTTTCTACCAATAACTAAAATAATAAAAAAAAATACCATTTCAATGCTATTTCACATTTAATAATAATTTTTATGAATAAAAATTTGGATTACCAATGGGATCGCCTCTTCGTGAAATGACGGCGTGTATTTTCTTAGAATTTCTCGAATCTGGTCCTTTCCAGGGTATTTGTGAAATCTAGTCCCCTCCAGGGTATTTCCCGAATCTGGTCCTTCCCAGGGTATTTGTCAAATCTAGTCCCCTCCAGGGTATTTCTCGAATCTGGTCCTTTCCAGTGTATTTGTCAAGTCTAGTCCCCTCCAGGGTATTTCTCGAATCTGGTCCTTTCCAGGGTATTTGTCAAATCTAGTCCCCTCCAGGGTATTTCTCTAATCTGGTCCTTTCCAGGGTATTTGTCAAATCTAGTGCCCTCCAGGGTATTTCTCGAATCTGGTCCTTTCCAGGGTATTTGTCAAATTTAGTCCCCTCCAGGATATTTCTCGAATGTGGTCCTTTCCAGGGTATTTGTCAAATCTAGTGCCCTCCAGGGTATTTCTCGAATCTGGTCTTTTCCAGGGTGTTTGTCAAATCTAGTCCCCTCCAGGGTATTTCTCTAATCTGATCCTTTCCAGGGTATTTAAATGCTATTTCACATTTAATAATAATTTTTATGAATAAAAATATGGATTACCAATGGGATCGCCTCTTCATGAAATGACGGCCTGTATTTTCTTAGAATTTCTCGAATCTGGTCCTTTCCAGGGTATTTGTCAAATCTAGTCCCCTCCAGGGTATTTCTCTAATCTGGTCCTTTCCAGGGTATTTGTCAAATCTAGTCCCCTCCAGGGTATTTCTCTAATCTGGATCTTTCCAGGGTATTTGTCAAATCTAGTCCCCTCCAGGGTATTTCTCTAATCTGGTCCTTTCCAGGGTATTCGTCAAATCTAGTCCCCTCCTGGTTATTTCTCGAATCTGGTCCTTTCCAGGGTATTTGTCAAATCTAGTCCCCTCCAGGGTATTTCTCGAATCTGGTCCTTTCCAGGGTATTTGTCAAATCTAGTCCCCTCCAGGGTATTTCTCGAATCTGGTCCTTTCCAGGGTATTTGTCAAATCTAGTCCCCTCCAGGGTATTTCTCGAATCTGGTCCTTTCCAGGGTATTTGTCAAATTTAGTCCCCTCACGGTATTTCTCAGAATCTGGTCCTTTCCAGGGTATTTGTCAAATCTAGTCCCCTCCAGGGTATTTCTCGAATCTGGTCCTTTCCAGGGTATTTTTCAAATCTAGTCCCCTCCAGTGTATTTCTCGAATCTGTTCCTTTCCAGGGTATTTGTCAAATCTAGTCCCCTCCAGGGTATTTCTCGAATCTGGTCCTTTCCAGGGTATTTGTCAAATCTAGTGGCTTCCAGGGTATTTCTCGAATGTGGTCCTTTCCAGGGTATTTTACCTGAACAATCAACATACCTCCAGTAATTACGATGCTCTATTAATATATCCCGTATCCGGAACATTCGCATTAAACATTTTTGCCGTAGGAAAACTCGCTTCAGGAATTTTCGTTGTATGAATTTTCGCCGTATAGGATTTTTGCCATAAGGCAATTTCCCTGCTTCTTTTTTCCATAACTTTATCTTTTGGAATTATGTTCATTTTAATATGCGAAGTACCTTGTTAACAAATATATTTTAATTATATAAAAAGGTGTTATTTTAAATTGTTATTGTCTTTGAGGAATTGAATGTCTATTATACTTTGGATCAAAAAGTTGTGTGTTGTTATAATGTCTGTTCAAATATAAGGAAGTATATTTCAATATTTCAGTATTTATGGTGAATTTAAAACAGTTTATATCTGCAAATAATTTGTGTAAATTTCAAAAGACTTACTGAGAATTTGAAGCGGTTATCTTTCTTTTATCAGATATTTTATATTTGAGTTTGGTTGCGTATTCAAGTTGTAATTTTGAAATAATATATATTTCTTGAGTAAGAAATGATGGCTGACTGATATGTTAACAGAAAGTTTAACGTTAAGGCTGAAATATGAAATTGCGTGACGTAGGTTCTAGGGTGAAGTTGCAATTGTTTGCGCTCCTCCCTAACGAGGATGAATGAGGTGGGATTTTGATCCTATAATTTCGCTTATTAAAATGCTTAAATCGAAGTAACAATAGTGTGAGAACAGATATACTTGATAACAAGGTATTTCGCATATTAAAAAAATATTGCAGAGAAATTGTCTTACGGCAAAAAATCATTCTATTTTCTACGGCGAAAATTCTTGAAGCGAGTTTCCCTACGGCAAAAATGTTAACGGCGAATATTCTTAGAACCAATATATCCCCGTGTTAGTGACTTACCTGGTGTTGTAGATAATTTAAACAAAGTCGGACACATATTAGAATTTACGTAGGAAATGGAAGAAAACATCGGAGAAAATCATCGGATTCTATTTAAGAGCGCTAAGAATTTGCAGCCCTAAATATTTACACGAAGAGGAGAAATATATTGAAAATATTTGCAATACCCATCTAATATCCCAACTATTTCATATTCAATTCTAAACAAATGGCTCATAAAATTTTTCAAAATAGAAAAGGACCTCCTCATTACAAACCCAATGAATAAAAAAATACCCACTAACTCTATCACAACTCCGATTTTGTGTGTGAGCTTTTAGTTTTGGTACTTTTGTTTCTATCTTCTTAATTTCTGTTCATTATTATTATTATTATTATCTTTCCTTAAATTTTCTTTTTCTCATATGCTTTCACACTCAGTAATCGCATACGTCTTGTTGGCTTTATTGCCTTGCTTGGGTTTAAAAAAAATGGCTAATAATAGCTGAGAGTACTAAGACATTAGATAATTTATATTTAAATATACATCTGAACCTCCCTCCCCTCAAAAAATAAAAATAAATGAAGAAAATATAAAAAATATACTAAACGAACTTTCGTTGTACATTTAACTAGACTTGGATAAACGAAAAATTGCTGCTTAAATACATCCAATATAAATACATCGTGCAACAATATAAATGAACCTACTCTGTAACCCTCTACTCTGAGTGGCTCTTGGGTCTCATACAGAGTGAAAATTATTGTAAAAAAATCAACCAAATACATGATGTTCATTCAGCTTGTCTATATTTTTATCATGATAGTATTTTTATTCGAAAATTGGAAAAATGCAATAAAATTAAATAAATATAAGCAAATATTTATCAGCATCTTATTTTTGAAAGTTAAAGACTGAATCGTCTGTAGTAAAACGGTTCTGTAAAAAAAATACAAAAAAATTATTTATTTCGACATAATGTATATTATCATCCATATATATACATATACATATACATACATATATATATATATATATATATATATATATATATATATATATATATATATATATATATATAAATTAAATGCTAGACTAAATGCTAGGCTAAAACTCTGTCAATTCTTAATGTATTAATGAATTTATTCATTTCCTAAAACGTTTTCCGTGTCTCGCCGAATCTTTTTAACATTTCTCGAAATCAGTCCAACATCAAATTAAGAAATGCGTTTTTATCATTATTTTTCTTTCATTTTTTTCTTCTTAAGGAAGCAATTTCGTGACTTTATATTATCCGAAATTTTTGGTTCCTTTTTTTTTTCTCTTTTCCATATTTTTTTTTGTTTCCAGTTTTTCCCCAAGTCTTCAAAATTGTCAATTTTGAGAAGCCATACCAGAACGAGGAAAACGGTTTCCCGCATTGAAATTATAAATTGAAACATTTTTATTATTGCAAAAAAAGTTTCATTTTTCTGATGTTTGCTATCATTTGGACACAATGTAAATAAATAAAAGTAATTAATATCACTTCATATATTTAAGTGAAGCGAGTGAATTCATAAAATAACTGGAACTGTAATCAGAAATAGGCGAGATCTCAAAGTTCTTCAGCAACCAAAAGTTTGCATTTGTTTTCTGTACTTTGATGAGGTTATGTCAATGTTTCCAGAAAAATATCGTACCTTAAATTCATAGTATCAACATTTGGTCATGATTCCGACGATTTATAGAGTTAAGGAGGCAGTAGAAGAGGGTGTTGACGTGTTCACTGTTGAAAAGTGTTATAAAATATATATATATATATATATATATATATATAGAGAGAGAGACATATATAGATAGATAGATAGATATAGATAGATAGATAGATAGATAGATAAAGAAAAAAAAAGAGAAAAGAAAAGAAAGAAATATAGGGGATAAGAAAGAAAAACGGAAATTGAATAGATTTGAAAGAAAGAAAGAAAGAAAGAAAGAAAGAAAGAAATAAAAAGAAAGAGAGAAAGAAAGGAAAAAACAAAGAAAGAGAGAAAAAAGAAATAGAGAAAGAAAGAAAGAAAGAAATAGAGAAAGAAAAAATAGTAAGAAACAAATACGGAAAGAAAGAAAGAAAGAAAGAAATAGAGAAAAAGAAGAAAAAATATGAGAAAACGAACAAAGAAAAAGACTAGTGTGACAAGATAAAAGCCTTGAGAGATAAAAAGATGGAAAGACGAACAAAAGGTTTTTCATGGTTTTTCAACCTTTTATATAAAGCCGAAACATATTTTTGTATTATAAGAATAATCTTTTTTTTGACAGTGAATTTTGCATTAACAATTTTTTGAGAATATAAATGATTTTTTCCAGACATTTTGTGCTATTATTAAATATATAGCTTGGGTGTGTGTGTGGGAGGGGGATTGATTTGTACCTGTCCCATGCGTATTGGTGCGGAAAGTAAATGCTGCGAACGTGACGAGAATTTGAACTTTGGCTCTGATTTCTCATCCCGCGTCACACTAAAAACCTTTTGTCGACTTTTGTCTATTGCACATACACACACACACACACACACACACACACACACACACACACACACACATATATATATATATATATATATATAGAGAGAGAGAGAGAGGGGGGAGAGAGAGTGAGGTAAAAGAAAAATAGAGAGAGGAAGAGAAAGTGTGTATGTATAAGAAATAGTGAGAAAGAGAAAGAGAGAACAAACTAAAGTATTTCTGGAGACAAAAATACAATAAAATTAAAGCATATATATATATATATATATATATATATATATATATATATATATATAGAGAGAGAGAGAGAGTGAGTGAGTGAGAGAGAGAGTATATATATATACATATATATCTATATATTTATTTAAAAGAAAAACACACCAATTTAAGGTACCATTATAATAATTTATTTCATCAGATAGCACTTCCAAAAATGAAATGAAACGAAAAATGAAATTAAAATTGATGAGTAATGTAAGTTTTTGTAATTTAACAGATAGTGTAAAAGGGATAGTTAAAGAGACATGGTAGAGTATAGGGAGGAATTAATTTCATTTCTCTCTCAAGTATATTTTATATTGGGGGAGGAGGAGTGACCAGACCTTGACCTATTTAGACGGTTAACTTAACGGAAGTGATATATTGAAATAGGAAGGGAGAAGGGAGAAAAGAAAAAAGGAAAAAGAAAGAAGAGGGAGAGGGAGAGGGAAGTAAAGAGAAAGAGGTTGTAATTGGGTTTTAATTGGGAAAAGGAAAATTATATGGTTCAACCCGCCTTTCTGTAAACTTTCGAATATCAATATATGGAAATACTTTCTTAAACTAATTGACAAGCATTTTAGAAAAGATGAACCATTAAAAAAGATGTTCAACAGAATGAATTTAAAAATTAGTTATTCCTACATGAGCAATGTAGAAAAATTATTAGCTCTCACAATAGCAAAATTTTAAGTGAATTTCATAATAATCAACTACAAAAAGATCTTAATGCAAGCCAAAAGAACAAATCGACCTGTAATTGCAGGGAAGGAACCGTTTGTCCAGTAGAGGGAATATGCATGGCAGAAAACGTAATATACGAAGCTATAATTTTCCCGAAAGAAGATATTAAACAGAAGAAGATATACATAGGAATATCGGCAGGAAATTGGAAGCAACGTTTTTATAACCATCGCCAACCCTTCACAAATAAATCCAAGAAGCATCAAACAGCACTATCAAAACATTATTGGGATTTGTTGGAAAGCAACTTAACCCCACAAGTAAAATGGAAAATCGTCTCGAGGGCTAAAACTCCAATAAACTTCAGAGACCGATGTAACTTGTGCATAAAAGAGAAAATCCTAATAATAAGGCATTAAGATCCGAACATATTACTGAACAAACATAACGAGTTGGTTTTTAAATGTAGACATAAAAACCACCTCAATTTAACTAAATATATTTAGAAATAACTATATAAAAAGGGAAAATATTACAAAAACTTACACTACCCATCAATTTTAATTTCATTTTTCGTTTCATTTTTGGAAGTGCTATCTGATGATCCGTCGTCCTTTAAAAGGACTCTGGTGAAATAAATTATTATAATTGTACCTTAAAGTGGTCTGTTTTTCTTTTAAATATTAGCTCTGGATTTACATTGAGCTCTCATGATTTCATCCTCCTTGGGATTACCCATACGGATTACCAAGTTCTTCATACCTTATATATATATATATATATATATATATATATATATATATGAAGAGAGAGAGAGAGAGAGAGAGAGAGGGGGGCAAGCTTGGTAGAGGAATGGAGACGGACAACCCGGAGTCATGTCCCTAAATCCAATGTTCAATTTCGTTCAAGCAACTCCTGTGACGTAATAACATCTTGGACAACATCGGTAGTGAGGGAGATATGCTGCATGGGCAACTCTCATAAAATAACCTTACTTCACCCCAGAGTGGGCATAACTCTTCGGACGCATATATATATATATATATATATATATATATAAAAATTTCTCAGAGTTAACCTGTAGAAAAGATAATATTTATAAATATAAATGAGAATAGGCAAACTGTAGTAGTTGCCAACGCGTTTCGTCCAATGTGGACTTTCTCAAAGCAAAAAAAGAAATTAACTTTTGTTATTATTAGTTACTTTGTTTAAATAAATTCATTTCGGTTTTTGCTTAGAGAAAGTCCACATTGACGAAACGCGTTGGCAACTACTACAGTTTTCCTATTTTCATATTTTATATATATATATATATATATATATATATATATATATATATATATATTGTTTATTTTAATACCTATACTCGGCTGGTATAAAAACACGGGTAGTACAATTTGCCAATGAAATATATATATAAACAAACTGGGAAAAATCTGGAAAAAATTACTAAAACCCTGAGTTGGTCGAAAAATATTGTCCAATTGTCAAAAGAAAAAAACAATCGAGTAAATTAAGAAAAGACGTAAGGAGAGCAGAGTACATAAACTCCTAGTGAGCCAGAAAACTACCTACCTAGGATTTTCATCTAACGGATCTTCACTAATATATATATATATATATATATATATATATATAACTCACATTCACTTACGTGCTAATACCCCTTGGGAAAGGTGTGAATCCTTTTGTTCTCCCTCCAGCTATAGGTAAATAGCAGGACAGACGGGGTTCTATAGCTTTGGATGGCAACTGGTCTAGAAGAAAGACAATTCTGAATTCAAAACCTTCGGAGGGCCGTTTGGGGACCTTGTGTCACGTAGTGCACCAGATCTCTGTATTCGGCCCTTCAAAAAGTGTGGATGGTCCTGCACGAAACCTTCACCACTATAATCAAATCTCATATGCTGTTGTCGGGCTGTCGGTTTCCTAAGAACTGATCTGTTTGACCTCATACGTCCAACTCGACGAAAGAGTCGAGTATATATATATATATATATATATATATATATATATATATATATATATATATATATATATATATAATATTGAAACAGATCATTAAAAATATATCGTTTCTCTTTTGAGAAGCTTTGTTTATTACTGGAAAATATTTTTTGCCCTTCACTTGCTTGAAGACGACATTAAACAGTCGGATTTTAATGTACAGTTCAGTTCTTTCTTGGGAATCGTTACAGAAATCATAGAAATGGAGACAACATGGAAGAAGTTTGCCAAACAGCTACGGATTTTTTTTACGGATTTTAAAATAAAAGAACATTTTTTATGATATTTTGTTGTCAAAATATTCACTTTTTCTTCTGAGCTGTTTTTTTTTTTTATTTCTCGTTATCCATTTTTTCTTCGTTTTCTTTTCCACGTTTTTTTTTTATTCAATATTTTTGGCAGCTTTTACATTAGTTATCGCTTGTTTTCTTTACACTAACACCCCCACCCACCAGTAATTCTTCTTTTCTTATCTTTTCTTTTCTTTTTGCAATGGAGTTTACAGTTTTAACTTTATCGTCGCCATTTTCATATTCCCCTTGCTATCCCTCGTTTGTATAAACTCCATTTCTTTCTTTTTATTTGATAAATTCTTTGTTTTCGACTTCTTTACCGATTTCTCATCCTATTCCTTTATCCATTTTCCTTTTTGTTTCAGATTTCTCGTCTTCTGCACTCTTCATTATTGCATCATTATAATTCCCATCAGCATCATTATCACTATCATCACTATCATTACTCAAACAGCTACCATAATTATTATTATTATTATTATTGCTATTAATAATAATAATAATAATTTCGTTAGAATTGATTTCCCTTTTCTGGTTTTGAAAAGGAGACGGCAAGATATTTAAAATAAAATAAAATAAAATAAAAAAAGAATGAAATAGACGGTATTCTGAATTGGGGAAATCTGATGATGAGAAGAAATTCTGACAACTAACTGACAGAAAACTCTTCCGACAACGTCAAGGGAATATTTTTTATTTTCTATCTTTTCAAATTACATCTCGTAAAAAAAAAATAATTAAAAATAAAATCAAAAACACATCTTCTTAATCTTTTATAGTATTGTAAATAAAATAAAATCAAATAAAAATATAAGAAATATATCGACAAAATCTTCTAACGTCACATTTCGTTTTGATTTCATCGAAAGATTATACAATTAGATCGTTTGTACAAGGACAGGGATAAATGTCGGAGCAGGCGTTCGCGTATAATAGTCTGTGTAGAAAAGTAGAAAATATGAAGAGAAGACTGCATTTGCGTACGAAATAGTGCCGGAAAATTCTTCGTTTACAAAATCTTATCAAAAACCGTCTGAGGATAGCTTTGTCGCTTGAAACCAGAAGTAACGGTAATGTTTGTTTCTCTTTGTTTTGGATTGTATTCCAGTTCAGTTCTGGCTTTCTAAGTTGAAATTTCTACTCTTGATTGTTGAGAGCTATTCTATGTTGTGAAGGCAGGTTTATTTAATACTTTCATTTTTGTACGTTATTTACATTATTCGGACTATTGTCCTCATCTTTGTCGCCATATTTATTACAACGTTTCGGCCGTTGTACGCTCCGGCCTTCTTCAGGTGGTTAGAATGTCGAACTTAACCCTTTATTTCGCTCACTGGGGTAGACTGTTCTAGTTCCACGTGCCATGTTTAATGGATGTCAGTTATCAGTTATCTCCTTTCCAAGTTCTCCACTACCTTAACCAGGAATTGAACTCGCACTATTTAGGTCCTGTCACTGGATCTAACCAATGCCTTTATCCATTGTGCTATGTGTCATTTTTTTCTTTGTTTTTTGTTGTTGTTTTTTCGTTGTTTCTGCGATTCTATTGATTCTAGTCTTCTAAGGAGGCTGCCTAGTCACCCACGGGTGCTGCCGGACCTACCTGTTGCCCTCGAATTCAGGAAAGGAACGACCACTTGCCCATGGACCGCCTATGTGCAGGATTGTGACTACAACCGCCAGTGATCATCTCCAACTGTGGCTTGGCCACGTGCCCTGCCCTGCCCTGCCCATCGCCGCAGGACTTGAGGGGTGTGCGTTGACAGATCAGTTATGAGAATAATGACGGGCCTCTGTGTGAGGATTTTATAGTGAGAGGATCGTTGCACGGGGACAATCCCACTCTTTCGGCCTGGGAAGTCTTTGAACCAGTGGTACAGAGAGCCGTTATGACAGGAGACAGCCAGGTTGCAGTGGATGGCCAGGACTTCTTTAGGTGTCACGTCCATGCTCTAGGGCGATCCACAACACTTGCTCCCACCGCTTTCACAACCGTTGCATCCACAGGTGATCTCTTCCGCTTGTTCCGCCGGGAGTCACAATTCGCATGCAAGTAGAGCTGACACGGCCCAAGCCTAACTCACCAGAGGTTGCAGACTCGTCGACTACCCTAACCTTGTTTGGTGGGCCTGCCAAAGCCGTTGCCAGTGGGTGGCCGCTGTTGCATGCGACAGCTTCTAGGAGCCACAGGTGAGAGCTGGGTGAAAGGTGAGTGTTAAAATTAATAAGTTAACCGCCCTGTCGGCTGGGGATTCAGAATACACCGACTGCACCGCTGCAAAGGGGCACCCCACCACCAATGTGGTGTCCTCGGTTTGACGATAAATTACATCTGGTATCAAGGCCTCTGATCGAGATATTTTGAGGAGAGTGGAAACACATCTTGATTGCTGGTGAATTTAAAATCGTACGGGGGATAAGTCTGACCCTGACGAATTTGAAGTCGAACGGGGATAAGTCTGAACCTGATTACTGAAGTTGGACGGGGGATAAGTGTGACCCTGATGACTTTGAAGTCGGACGGGGGACAAGTCTGAACCTGATTACTGAAGTTGGACGGGGGATGAGTCTGAACCTGATGACTTTGAAGTCGGGCGGGGGATAAGTCTGAACCTGATGACTTTGAAGTCAGGCGGGGTATAAGTCTGACCCTGACGTCTTTGAAGTCGGACGGGTGATAAGTCGACCTTGATGATTTTGAAGTCGGATGAAAGATAAGTCTGACCGTGATGACTTTGAAGTTGGACGGGGGATAAATCTGAGCCTGGTGGCTGAAGACGAACGGCGGTTAAGTTTGAACATGATCACTGATGTCGGACGTGGTAGATAAGTGTGACCCTGATAACTTTGAAGTCGGACTGGGCATAAGTCTGAACCTGATGACTTTGAAGTCGGACGGGGGATAAGTCTGAACCTGATGACTGAAGTCGGACGGGGCATAAGTCAGACCCTGATGACTTTGAAGTCGGACATGGGAGATAAGTCTGACCCTGATGATTTTGAAGTCGGACGGGCGATAAGGCTGACCCTGATGTCTTTGAAGTCGGACGGGTGATAAGTCGGACCTTGATGATTTTGAAGTCGGTTGAAAGATACGTCTGACCCTAATGACTTTGAAGTCGGACGGGGGATGTCTGACTGATGACTTTGTAGTCAGACGGGGGATAAGTCTGAACCTGATGTCTTTAAAGTCGGACGTTGGATACGTGTGACCCTGATGACTTTGAAGTCGGACGGGGGATAAGTCTGACACTGATGACTTTGTAGTCAGACGGGGGATAAGTCTGAACCTGATGTCTTTAAAGTCGGGCGTTGGATACGTGTGACACTGATGTCTTTGAAGTCTGACGTGGGATATTTCTGAACCTGATGAATTTGAAGTCGGACGGGGCATAAGTGTGACACTGATGACTAAAGTCGGACGGACTTCGAAGTTGGGATGACTTTGAAGTCGGACATTAAATGTGACCCTGGAATTTGGGACTAAATGACACTGAAGTCGGACCTGGTATAAGTCTGACCCTGATGACTTCACGGGCTTAAGGCTGACCCTGATGACTTTGAAGTCGGACGGGGATAAGGGACAATGTCGGACAAGGCATAAGGCTGACCCTGATGACTTTGAAGTCGGACATGGGACATAAATGTGACCCTGATGAATTTGGGACGGGGCATAAGTGTGACCCTCATGACTGAAGTCGGACAGGGTATAAGTCTGACCCTGATGACTTCGAAGTCGGACGGGGCTTAAGGCTGACCCTGAATTCGAAGTCGGACGGGCATAAAGCTGACCCTGATGACTTTAATGTCGGACAAGGCATAATGATTTTTGAAGTCGACCTGGTGTCTTTAACTCGGACCCTGTTGAAGTCGGTCGGGTGATAAGTCGGACCTTGATGATTTTGGATGAAAGTAAGTCGGTTGAAATAAATCTGAGCCTGGTAAGTCTGACCGTGATGACTTTGAAGTCGGACGGCGGATAAGACGGGGCATAACCCTAATGACTTTGAAGTCGGACTGTGAATGTCGGACCCTGATGGAGATAAGTCGGACGGGCGATAGATGATTCTTTGAAGTTGGACGGACGGACCTTGATGATTTTGAAGTCATGTTGAAGTCGTCTGACCCTTGATGAAGTCGGACGGGGGATGTCTGACTGATGACTTTGGTCAGACGGGGATAAGTCTGAACCTGATGTCTTTAAAGTCGGACGTTGGACCCTGATGACTTTGAAGTCGGACGGGGATAAGTCTGACACTGAAGTCAGACATGGGGGATAAGTCTGAACCTGATGTCTTTAAAGTCGGGCGTTGGATACGGACACTGATGTCTTTGAAGTCTGACGTGGGATATTTCTGAACCTGATGAATTTGAAGTCGGACGGGGCATAAGGACACTAAGTCGGACGGGTTAGACCCTGATGACTTCGAAGTTGGACGGGGCATAAGGCTTGAAGAAGTCGGACATGACATGGGATGAATTTGGGACCCGGGGCATAAGTGTGACCCTCATGACTGAAGTCGGACAGGGTATACCCCTGATGACTTCGAAGTCGGACGGGCATAAGGACCCTGATGACTGACCATAAGGCTGACCCTGGTGTCTTTGAAGTGACTTTTGAAGTGAAGTCGGACATGGAAGTCGGACATGATAAGTCTGACGCAGATGATTTTGAAGTTGGACGGGGATAAGTCTGACCCTGATGTCTCTGAAGTCGGATGGTTGATGACTCGGACCCTGATGACTTCGAAGTCGGACTTTGAAGTCGGACGGGACCGGACCAGGGGCATGACCATGATGACCTGATGATGACTTCGAAGTCGGACGAGCATGGGAGATAAGTCGGACGTAAGTCTGACGTAGATGATTTTGAAGTCGGACGGGGATAAGTCTGACCCTGGTGTCTCTGAAGTCGGATGGTTGATAACTCGGACCCTGTTGACTTTAAAGTCGGACGGAGCATATGTCTGACTCTGAGTACTGAAGTCGGACGGGGGATAAGTCTGAACCTGATGTCTTTGAAGTCGGACGTGGTATAAATGTGACCTTGATGACTTTGAAGTCGGACGGGGGATAAGTCTGACACTGATGTCTTTGAAGTTTGACGTAGGTAAATCTGACCCTGATGGCTTTGAAGTCGGAAGGGGGATAATTCTGACCCTGATGACTATGAATTCGGACGTGGCATAAGTCTGACACTGATGACTTTGAAATCTGACGTGGGATATGTCTGAACCTGATGAATTTGAAGTCGGACGGTGCATAAGTGTGACCCTGATGGCTAAAATAGGACGGGTTTTAGGTCTGACCTTGATGACTTCGAAGTCGGACGGGGCATAAGGCTGACTATGATGACTTTAAAGTTGGACATGGGAGATAAGGCTGACCCTGATGATTTTGAAATCGGACATAGGAAATAAGTCGTACCCTGATGATTTTGAAGTCGGACGGGGGATAAGTCTAACCATGATGACTGTGAAGTCGGACATGGGAGATAAGTGTGACCCTGATGATTTTGAAGTCGAATGGGGCATAAGTGTAACCCTGATGACTGAAGTCGGACGGGGTATAGGTCTGACCCTGATGACTCCGAAGTCGGACGGGGCATAAGGCTGACCCGGATGACTTTGAAGTCGGACGGCGGATAAGTGTGACCCTGATGACTTTGTCAGACGAGGCATAAGGCTGACCCTGATGAATTTGAAGTCGGACATGGGAGATAAGTCTGACCCTGATGACTTTGAAGTCGGAGGGGGATAAGTCTGACCCTGATGTCTCTGAAGTCGGACGTGGGATTTGTCTGACCCTGATAAATTTGAAGTCGGACGGGGCAGAAGTCTGACCCTGATTACTGAAGTCGGACGGGGATAAGTTTCATCCGGATGATTTGGAAGTCGGACGTGATTAAGTCTGACCGTGATGACTGTGATGTCGGACGGCGGATAAGACTGACCATAATGACTTTGAAGACGGACGGTAGATAAATCTGACCCTGATGACTTTGAAGTCGGACATGGGAGATAAGTATGACCCTGATGACATTGAAATTGGACGTGGTATAAGTCTGACTCTGATGACTTTGAAGTCGGACGGCGGCTAAGACTGACCCTAATGTCTTTGAAGTCGGACTGGAGATAAATCTGAGCCTAGTGGCTGAAGACGAACGGCGGTTAAGTTTGAACATGATCACTGATGTCGGACGTGGGAGATAAGTGTGACCCTGATAACTTTGAAGTCGGACTGGGCATAAGTCAGGCCCTGATGACTTTGAAGTAGGACGAGGGATAAGTGTGACCCTGATGACTTTGAAGTCGGACGGGGTATAAGTCTAACCCTGATGACTTTGAAGTCGGACATGGGAGATAAGTCTGACCCTGATGACATTGAAATTGGACGTGGTATAAGTCTGATTCTGATGATTTTGAAGTCGGATGAAAGATAAGTCTGACCGTGATGACTTTGAAGTCGGACGGCGGCTAAGACTGACCCTAATGACTTTGAAGTCGGACTGGAGATAAATCTGAGCCTGGTGGCTGAAGACGAACGGCGATTAAGTTTGAACATCATCACTGAAGTCGGACGTGGGATAAGTTTTACCCTGACGACTTTGATGTCGGACGGGGGATGCATTAGAATCTGTTAATTACTACACATTTTGATATGTGTTATTTCTTTGTATGATCATTACTCTCTCTCTCTCTCTCTCTCTCTTTGTCTCTCTGAATCAAAAACATATATTTAAGTATCATGTGATATATTATGGATACCCACGAAGAAAGAGGAAAGGTTGCTTTTCTGGATTTCAAATATTTCTTGCATTATTTACAATATTCGGGCTGTTATCCTCATATTCCTTGCCAGAGAAATCTCCAATCTAGTATATCTTCAGTTCTTGGTTCCGACTTGGGGATCTATTTCAGTTTCAAAATTAGACTTTGAATTTTCGTTATGAAATGAGTAGGTTGATCCAGAAGAATATACTATTGATCAGAATAATAACAGAAAAATTGCAATATGGGCTCTCATAAGAAATGGTTAATCTTACATTATTTACATTATTCGAATTGTTATCCTCATCTTCATTGCCATATTCCCAACCTTTCGGCAGTTGTACGCTCCGCCTTTTCAGGTGATTAGAATTTTGAACTGAACAATTTATTTCGTCCACCGAGTAGATTATTCTAGCTCCACGTGCCATGCCTCTTCCGAATGTCTCAGTTATTTCCGTTTAACTCACCTCTTCAAGCTTTTTGGTTCACCACTGCTGTAGCCTGGCACTGAACTCACTGGATCTAACCAATGTCTTTATCCACTGCTCCATGTGTCCTTGAAGACTTCTAACCAACATCTTTATCCACTGACTAGACCCAAAGAGTTGTGAGTTCAATACCAGGTTACAGCAGTGGTGAACCAAAACTTGCAGAGTTGAGTTAAAGGGAAATAACTGAGATATCCGTAAGAGGCATGGCTCGTGGAAGTAGAAAAATCTACTCCGGTAGATGAAATAAATGATTCGAATCGAAATTCCAATCACCTGAACTGTCCGTCAAAGAACACTAGAACAAGGAAGGCAATATTTATGCTCAGAATGTTATTAGAAAGAGTAATATAAATGCTCAAAGAAGTGTGCCCGTGTTTTATAGATTAGGCGAAGGTGTTCGATAAAGTACACCACAAAGTTCTTTTGGGTCTGCTCACCAACTTTGATATATTTGGGATGGATACTAGAATAACCAAGAACCAATAATGGCAGCAAACTGCCTACATACGGATAGAAAACGAGTTCAGCAGATATATAAAAATACAAAGGGGTGTAAGACAAGGATGCGTCTTCTCGCCGGACTCATTCAACCTATACAATGAGGCGATTCTGAGAGAACTAGAAGTGCTGACAGGATTCATTATTGGCGGCTACAATCTTATCAACATAAGATATGCAGATGACTAAAAAGAAACTACAAAAACTCTTTCAGAATGTCATGAAGGAAAGCAAGAAGAAAGAATAAAATAATTAAACTGCAAGAAAACAGAATGCATGGTTGTTAGCAAAAGGATGATGCCAAATTGCGAATTACAAATCGGAGATACCAAAATCAAACAAGTGCGGAAATTTAAATAGCCAAATTGTGATAGCCAAAGTTGCCTAACAAAAGCTAAGCAGAGTACTAAGAAATAGAAAAACTTCGCTAGAAACAAGGAAAAGAGTACCAAACTTTTACGTGATATCTGTCCTCCTGTATGGTAGTGATTGTTGACAATGTTTGCCGTAGTCTCTGAATATGGAATCCAGTGAAGTCCGTAATCTCTTCAATATCTGTGGTTGGCAATGTAGATTCGGAGAAAGTAGCGGCTGTTAATTCTTTGCGTCTTCGATATCAGGTTGGCAGTGGAGATATTTTGAGAGAAAAAACAAAATGGCTTCCTTTATTCACGTCGGATTGAATATTTTGAGCTTTCTGATTGGTTAACCCTTCTATTGGTGAACTATAAAATGAGTCAGCTCATTTTGACTGGCTCACTAGTACATATATGTATCCAAAAAACTGTAACAGTGAGTGCTCGACAAACTCCTTAAAGATGAAGAAGAGACTTGAAGCAACAGAAATGTGGTTCTACAGAAGGATGCTGGGGATATCATGTACCGAACATGTGATCAACTAGGAAGTTTTCGAGAGAACTAGAAGCTTTCATTTTCACCAGAACCTGCTCTCTCTCATCCATTTCTTGTTGCAGTTTGTATTTGCAAGAATTGGTGCCGATGGCGTGGATTTTTGTTAGAGTGTACCTCAACCTACTTTCATGACTTTCCTCTGCGGCACACATGGAATGAGACATGCAGAATCCAGTTATGAAACAGTAATATACTGCCACTAATTTTGAGTGGCGCCTTCTATAGTATGTCTGTTATGCGTAGCACTCTCTATCACTGGTTCAACAGTTGAGATCTGTTATAAACATCATCCGCTTATTCCACTCTTGGAGGTTTTGCGGGTTTGGGTTTTGGAGTTGGTCACAGTATGTCCGGATCCTCGTCTACGATCTTACGACCAAAGGTGGCCCTAACAGGAGTTTAGAACTCCCGACGACATCGCACTCAGCTTCACTGAACA